GATATCGTCCTCTTTTAGAAGGCCAAACAAAGTAGTTTCACTTTCACAACGAAACACACAGCGCCTTCACGACATGGCGGCACTATACTACAGCGACAATAAAAGTTACGCCTTCTTGCTTTGCGTGAACATTTGGGCGGCGTTATGCAAATCTTCCCACATAGTGATGTAGATATGTGGGGGCATTAGAACGAGCAGTTTTAGGTAGGCGTGGTTGACTCTTAACTTTTATAAAGAATATCTCTTTGGATTTGAGACTTTAGTCTTTGCAACTTTACAGATCTTCTTTATCCACCAAGAGCTTGTAACACTCCAAAGAGAAAGGAAAATTTGAAATCGCATCATATGACCCCTTTAAATATAAAAATATTTACTGAATCCTCTTCCACTGCTTTGAAGTAGAGTAGGCTACATGGTACCCTCACTATGCTGAATATTGCCTGCAGACTTATCTTTCAGCATATTTAACTTGTTCTATCATGCTTGACTGCACAGTCTTGGCCCATCTCAGTCTTTCTTTATGAAATAAGTTATTACAATCAACATTAAACTGAACACACCATTATATACGTATCTATATGTAGACTAGATATAATTTAACATATATATGTGTATAATAACCTTTTTCTCTTCTTTTTTACATGCTTCATTATCAATTTTATTGTTCTATAAAGGCTTGCCACTAGGTGAATATTTCCAACTGCACTTGGTTTGGGTTTATTTTTATACATTAACTATGCAATTATATCCTATATTATTGCTTTTTATATGATTATATTATATTATTTTCTAAATCTCATCTAAATCTCATTCTAATATTTTAGAATATTATATTACCTATATATAAATTTACTAAATCACATGTCCAGTAGGGTTGTGGGGATGCTGGGGCATTATTATATTGTATTATATTGTATTATATTGTATTATATTATATTATATTATATTATATTATATTATTATAATTGCTTACCGACCCAATCACTCCACAGAGGACGCCATATCCTCTGTACTCCATCTGAGTCTGGCGCATCTGGAGGAGAAGAACACTCATGTGCGAATGCTGTTTGTGGATTTTAGTTCTGCGTTTAACACGATTATCCCCCAGCATTAAGTAAGCAAACACGGACCTTTGGGCCTTGGTACCCCCTTGTGTAACTGGATACTGGATTTTCTTACAAACAGACCTCAGTTTTTGAGGGTTGGAAATTACACCTCCAGTGTCATTTCTCTGAGCACTGGTTCCCCTCAGGGCTGCGTCCTGAGTCCATTATTGTTCACTATGATGATGACACATGACTGCCGTGCCAGGTTCAGTACAAACCAGGTTGTGAAGTATGCAGACGATACGACAGTGGTGGGCCTCATTCAGGATGACAACAAACAGGCAGGGAGGAGGTGAGATTGCTTGTGGACTGTTGCAATACAAACAACTTGCTCCTGAATGTAGATAAAACAAAGGAGATCATTGTTGACTTCAGAAAAGAGCAGCACAGGCACACACAACTACTTATCAATGACACCGCGGTGGAAGTTGTCAATAGCATCAAGTTCCTGAGGGTGCAGATCACAGACAGCTTGACATGGTCTCTTAACACTGCCTCTGTAGTGAAGAGAGCACATCAGCGTCTTTATTTTCTGCGTCGGATGAGAAAAGCACACCTTTCCTCTCCCATCCTCTGCACTGTCTGCAAAGGTATTATAGAGAGCATATTGACCAGCTGCATCTCGGTCTGGTCTGGGGACTGTAAAGCGGAGAGTGGTGAGGACAGCGGAAAAGATCATCGGCTCTTCGCTGCCTTCCTTCCAGGACCTTGAACACAAACGCTGTCTGGCCCGTGCCCACAATATTTTAAAAGACTACACCCATCCTCATTATGGACTGTCTATGCTGCTGCCCTCTGGGAAAAGGTTTCACAGCATTCGGGGCAGAACAGTAAGGTTCTGCAATAGCTTTTATCCACAAGCTATCAGACTTTTGAACTCAAAATAACTTTTTATTTATCAATCTTACTATCAATGGATCTCGTTCAATGGAACGAGATGGGGATACTGCAATAATTGTATCTATTTATGATTTATTTATTTAAATAATTGTACTTATACGTGGCCACTTAAGTGCAATAATTTGTTACAGATGCTGCTAATCATCATGTGTATTTATTAATTATTTATATGCTGCTGTTAATTATTTTTAGTTTTATATTCTTAATGCATGTTGGAGCATTTTTCATTAGATTTTATATTATTATATTTTTAATACTGATTTTGTACAGTAGTACATGTTTTAGTTTTAGTGTAGTTTTCTTTATGAGCCAGTGAAACGAAATCTCGTTCATATGTGCATCCCACATGTACAGTTGAATGACAATAAAGCTACCTACCTATATTATATTATATTATATTATATTATATTATATTATTTAAAATAGCATTCTTAAAGTATGTTTTTATTCACCAATCACTTCGCTGGTGTAAATGGAAGTCTCTGGAGGAAAGCAGCAAATTGCTTTGTCAGACTGGGGGGCATTTTACCTCATCTGTGGGGGAAAACGCCCCCTTGGTACAATTGTAATTTTTGTTGAAAATCTAATAAAATAAAAAGTTATTTTGAGTTCAAAAGTCTGATAACCACAAGCTATAAAATAACTTTTTATTTATCAATCTTACTATCAATGGATCTCGTTCAATGGAACGAGATGGGGATACTGCAATAATTGTATCTATTTATGATTTATTTATTTAAATAATTGTACTTATACGTGGCCACTTAAGTGCAATAATTTGTTACAGATGCTGCTAATCATCATGTGTATTTATTAATTATTTATATGCTGCTGTTAATTATTTTTAGTTTTATATTCTTAATGCATGTTGGAGCATTTTTCATTAGATTTTATATTATTATATTTTTAATTATTCACCAATCACTTCGCTGGTGTAAATGGAAGTCTCTGGAGGAAAGCAGCAGCAGCAATACCAACAATCACCATCCGCTACAATGGCGCTGCATCCCAGACTGGAGCTCTTGTGGTCGGGGTGGGGCTTTACCAGTGGGGCATTTCCTCCAGTGTCGGGTTTCTCCAGCGCACTGGCATTTAAATCTGCTGCAGTGGGAAGCCCGTGGACGCCTGTCACCGTGAGTGAATCTGCTCTATTGGAGGGTCTGGCGCTCGTTTTCTCTTCTCTTTCATAATAGCTATTGTATCTCTTGCATTTGCTGAGTGATACATTGTAGCCTCTAGCGACGCGCGCTTTTATTCCAACAAAACCTGAATGAAAGGCTGCCTGTTTGGCCATGTTTTGGACCGTAACATTTAAACAGAATATTATATAATGCATCATATTTTGTAATTATGGTCTAATCTTTCGCGCATTTTGTGTCGTGAGTGGCCTATAGAGACAAGGGAACAGTTTCAATGGACGCTTAAAATACATCGACGTCATTACAAATCCATTAATTTGAATACACTACAGTAGGACTAAGGCGCATTTGTGCATATTGTGAAATAATTAACCAAAAACAACAGATATATCGTCTAAGGTTGCCTATACTCGAGTTGCATCATGTTCAGCTGGTTGGGTACCGATGACAGGAGAAAGAAAGATCCAGAGGTCTTCCAGAATGTCAGTGAAGGACTCAAGAAGCTTTACAAAACCAAACTGCTTCCACTGGAGGAACACTACAAATTCCACGAGTTTCACTCACCCGCTTTGGAGGATGCAGATTTTGACAATAAGCCCATGGTTCTCCTGGTGGGACAGTATTCCACTGGCAAAACCAGCTTCATAAGGTAAGATGTTAGTTTTGGCTCCTGTGAAACAGTTGCTGGTGTCCTGAGCCCTATATGACTTATTCATAAAAAATATGCATGTATGACTTATTCATAAAAAATATTATGAAGTGTAAGATTCTAAAGTTTTAATTTAATCTATTTGATGTAATGTTATAATGTCATTCATGATAATATATTATAATAATATTATAATACTTAACAGGATACATATAATATTATTTTATCACACATCTAGTTTTGGTGAAACATTTTTTTCAAAACTGAGAAGCTCTCAAGAACACAGCGCTTCAGTAAAATCGGAAAATATTGCCCCATTTATGGTTTATTAAAATGAATATAATTTTATATATATATATATATATATATATATATATATATAATTAAAACACAACCTCTTCGATATTTTGTATATATCTGAATAACTGTAGCAATCACATTTGTAACATCCAAAACCAGTTTTGCAAATTCATATGAGATTCCTCACAATCCTATAGGATTGTTAATTGCTCCTTGTCAGTTTACCAGGAGGACTTATTTATATTGAGGGAACACATGTGTAACTTTACAAACGTTTTATCAACGCAAGATTAATTCATCTGTTTGAGAAGCATGTAAACAGATTTAAAAATAAATTGACATGAGAAGTTTAAGCCAAAATATTTAATAACTTCTGTGATACAGATATCATTAATCTGTTTACATGAGAACCTAATTTCTGTGTTCACTGAATACAGATCTTGATGTTACATGCTAAACATAGTTCTTAACAGTACTATAATTTTAGCTTAGACGGAGACGGTTACCTTGTAAACAGACCAGGCCTGGCTCCAGCTCTAAGATGTATCTGTATGACACAATGTCGCTGCTGTGGTGTGATGGTTGTCTGCTGGGTTATTTAAGGCTTACGGGTCTACTTTGGTCCAAAATGAAAGGCAACAAACTACTAAAGATCACCAGGCAACGAGAGACACTTCCAATGACTCCAGCACTGCCATAGTAACTTGTCACTAATAGGTTCCAGAATGTAGAAAAGTTAAGAGATAGAAATGTGGATGGAGACATATCAGATATCCTTTTTAGAAGGACTCTTGTGGTCATTACAACAACAGATTATTCTGAATGAAAAGTTTAATAAATTGCTCAAAGTTATTACTTATTAAGCAAGTGTGATAGTAACATTTTTTGTAGGTCTATGTGATTCTGAGTTCACTGTCAGCTTGTAGATATTTTAGCAATTTCATTAAGCAAGGAGTCAATGACAGTCAATGAAAGTTTTAAAATGAAATTAATACTTTTATTCAGCAAGAATCCATTGTGTAATAAAAGTGACGGTAAATATCTTTGCATTACAAAAAAGATATATTTCTTATAAATATGGAGTAAGGACTTATGAAAATGCAGCTTTGTCATCACAGGAATAAATTATAATTTAAAATATTAACATACAAAACAGTTATTTCAAATTGTAATAATCTTTCACAGTATTGCCATTTTTACTATATTTTTTATCAAATAAATGCAGCATAAAAAATCACTATCCCCAAACTTCTAAACAGTAGTGTATGTATTTTTTAATTCTTTACCGTCATTAAATGCCATGTCATTTGGCTGTAGTTAATTTAATCACATTATTTTGTATTTTTTGAGTGAGTGACTGAGCTGAGTTTTTGTTCGAGGTGAGTGTTAAATGTGAGAGTGAGGTATTGTCCTGCACTGGCAATAACAAATGTGCCTCCTCATTTTCGCTCTGGCTCTCTTTCCTCTTGTGCATTATTCATCAGGGTCGTGAGAGCCTCAGTGGACACAGCGGCCATTCTGCTGACTGAACACATAACTATGAAAGTAAATAAGCTCAACTTTCTGTGTATGCTTCATGAATGTGAGAAAGCCCATGAAACACTTCATTAAAATGTCAGGGGAAGTTTCATGCTTAACATTGAATCTTTTCAACATGGACGCATAATACAAAAGCTTGGCTCATGGCCATTTTGCACTTTGTTTTAAAAAGAGCTGAAGACACTCATGTCCAGTAATTTTGTCAATGTAAAATGAATTGCACTCATAATAGAGTGAGATGTGGGTGCAGTCATTCTAGCTGACCTTGTCATATAATATTTCATCCTTACATCCACCACTGTCAGTCCCGGGGTTTTGTAACTGTTTTGTAAGCAGCAATTACTTCAGTCTTCAGTGTCACATGAGCCTTCAGAAATCATTCTAATATGCTGATTTTGTGATCGTTATTATCTATGCTAAAAACAGTTGCTCAACATTTTTTCGGAAACCGTGATACATTTATTTTAGCATTCTTTTATGAGTAAAAAGTTTGAATTGGAAATCTTTTTGTACTTTATAGGTGTGTTTAATGTCACTCTTGGTAAATTTGATGCATCCTTGCTGAATAAAAGTATTAATGTCTTTGACCCCAAATGTTTGAATGGTAGTAAATATTGTGAGCTGAGGACAGATTTGTTTTAATGTTGTTTTATGATTTCACTGGAATGATTGTAAGAAAGGCTTAACAGAAAAGCAATAGATAACTTCCTCTGTGTTAGATATATTGGTCTTGGCAAAGCATCCTATCATAAATGACACCAGTGTCCTGTTTACACTTTGTGTTACACTTGTGTTACTGGCATAAACTGCAGCTAATAAGTTCTCAGTTGAAGCCAAGTGTCCTGTAGTTACTCAGACTGTCATTTTACCCTGCACTGTATTCCAAACAGTCTCAGTGCCGTCACATGTCCACAGCAGGGTCTGTTTGAATGGCTCTGTGCTGAGAAGAGTAAACATTATCTTAGTAAACTCACATTCTCCGTTAGAGTCTTAACAGTGTTCCTTTCGACAGCAGCAGAACTCATCTGAATCATGTGAACATAGTCTTGAATTCAGAAATTATTCTAATATATTTATTGATTTGTGCTCAAGAAACATTTATTTTTATTATCAATGTTTAAAAATTGCTTAATATTTTATTATATTTATTTGACAAACAAAATTCAAAGCAATATTTAGTTGAAATGTAATTTTTTGTTGCTTCACTGTCACTTTTGATCAATTATTAAAAAAATAAATAAAAGTATTAATTTCTTTTCTTTTTTTTTTTAAAGAAAGAACACAATATATGAGGCATCCATGACAGGGATGGACACCAAAGAGTGGATATACATGTTCCAAAAATCTGCAAACACATTGGAATTTTTTTTTTTCATGTAAACATGGGAATGCAGTAAAAAAAACTTTTTATAAAAGTTAAATAAATGTTTTATAATTTTGACAAATCAAAACATTATGACATAAAATGGTTAAGACATATTTAAGATTCTGCATTTTTATAATAACTCATTTTTTAAATTCAAAATTTTAAAACAAAATTATGTTGAAAATTAAAATTAGAAAAAATGCAGATTAGAAACTTTTATTACATGTGTTCTTGGACTCTATGTAAAAATGCTACATATATATTGAATTCACAGTATTTTTTCAACTGAAACTATTTTAAATATCCAAACTTTCTCAAATCAACAACATAATTATCATATTTTACACATGATAATGGCTATCAGAAGTGTTTACAGGCATCTGAATGCATCTTTTTTTAAATATTTTTTTTTTTTTTTTTTTTTTTTTATAGATATCTTCTGGAGCAGGACTTCCCTGGTATGCGGATCGGTCCAGAACCCACAACTGACTCCTTCATAGCAGTGATGCATGGCACCATGGAGGGACTAATACCAGGAAACGCGCTGGTAGTGGATCCCAAAAAACCCTTTCGGAAACTCAACGCCTTTGGGAATGCCTTCCTTAACAGGTGGGATTAAAACAATTACTTTAATTCTCATGTTTATTGAAATTTACATATTTCAGCTAAACGTTGGAGCAAAACATTAGAGCTTTAGTCTGGGTAGAGCTTTGCATATGTAACATGGTCTTCCTGTCTTATGATGATGTCACAGAGGGGGGCTGGTTCTAGGCAACATTCCTTCTCTTGATTGAGTTTCCTCATGCTGTCTGATCCACTGACCTCCCGTCACGTGATTAAGCAACAGACAGATAAGAGGACATGATACCATCAAGCTCACCAGCATATTATTAAACGGGCTGAAAATTATACAACTATAAAAGTGTGTATGGTAGAGTGACTTCCTTTATAAAACCTCCAAGTGATGCAATCGTGTGCATGTGATTATTTTTGCAGGTGGTCTTTGCTGTACTTCGTAGTCTGATGGTTTGGCAGGCAACACCTGCTTGTTGTGCAAATCAACAGAAACTCTTGAGAAAATTGTCTCTTCGCCTTTTGCAATCTCAAAGCCTGCATATTTTTGAATATATTTCATGTAATTCTGTCAGAAAGAGCAGCAACACACACTTTAAAGGAAAAGTTCACCCAGAAATGGAAGTACTGTCATGATTTACTGTTCCAAACCTAACTTTCTTCAGAATTTCAGAAAAGAGAATGTCCATATGAATGTAAATGGTAATTTTTGGGTGAACTATCCCTTTAAAGGGGTCATATGATGCTGCTTGGCTGCAGCGTCAACAATACTACAGTGAGAATAAAAGTTACGCCTTCTTTCTTTGGTGAACATTTGGGCGGCGTTATGCAAATCTTCCCACAGAGCGACGTAGGTATGTGGGGGTGTGTAAGAACGAGCCGTTTTAGGTAGGTGTGGCTGACTCTGAACTTTTATAAAGAATATCTCTGTGGATTTGAGACTTTAGTCTTTGCAACTTTACAGATCTTCTTTATGCACCAAGAGCTTGTAACACTCCAAAGAGAAAGGAAAAATTGAAATCGCATCATATGACCCCTTTAACATCTGAGTTATGCAAAGAAATGCACTTTTTTCCCCACATTTTGGTGCACGGAAATAGTAAACATGCTCATGAGATATTACTTGTCATGCACTCTGTTTGGCTGTGGGTTTATGTAATTTGCAATGCCTGAGACAACTGCCCTGGTTTTCAGGTTTATTTTTAGAGATGTATATCATTTATGAATTCACAAATAGCAGCAGCTCAGTGCGCATGGTGTAAACTAGTACATAGAATTACACATCAAATTGTTTTACAGTGCAAGCAAAATGGCTACAAATATGGTTATTTTGTAAGTAGATTAATGTTTGGTTGTGGATAGTTTACAATAGTAATTAAAACTCTTCTGCTTAACTTTCATATTTGGCCTAAACCGCTACATATATTGTACTAGCGTGTTGTCTGGTGCCAGATGTTCAGTAAATGTACATGCTAGAATGTGTTCTTAGACTAAAGTTGTTTGTGTCCAACAAACACTGTTATAGTAGGGACTGTCAAAATGAGAATAAATAATGTTTGGAAAATGTTAGGATAGGTTTCCCTAGCCTGAGGTCCTTAGCGATTCACTCCAAAACATGACACACTTTTTCTGGGCCTAGTTCACACACTACGCCACAAAAGCCATGCATACTAGTTTTTGGCTTGCTATTAAAGAATTTCAGAGCAGACTTTTTTTTCTCAGGCTCTAAAAATGTGACGTCTGTCTTGGTTTTTGTGTTTTACTATGTCCAACTTGGTCAAACTACAGCCGTAGATGGAAACAAATTAATGATTTATGGCATTCTTCTCCATGTCTTCATGCCAAGTTACTACAACTTCACAGTTTTGGATATTTAGGACTTTTTTCAGTGTGAAATCAGAGCTTGTTTTACTCAGTATATGTGTATATATATATATATATATATATATATATATATATATATATAATATATATATATA